CTGGAGGCTAAAACATATGAGGAACAGTTGCAGGAACTGGATATGTCTAGTTTAATGAAAAGAAAGACTAGGGGAGAGATGGTAGCAGTGTTCCAATATCTCAGGAGTTGCCACAAAGAAGAGAAAGTCGAACTATCCTCCAAAGCATCTGAGGGTAGAACAAGAAGCAATGGGTGGAAATTAATAAAGGAGAGAAGCAACTTAGAACTGAGGAGAAATTTCCTGACAGTTAAACAATTAATCAGTGGAACAACTTGCCTCCAGAAGTTGTGAATATTACAACACTGGAAGTTTTTAAGAAGATGTTGGATAACCATTTGTTTGGGTTTCCTGCCTAGGCAGGGGTTGGACTAGAAGACCTCCAAGATCCCTTCCAACTCTGTTATTCTATTCTATTCAATTCTATTCTCACTGTTAGAACATTTCTATTTAGTTATAGGTTGCTTCTCCCCTTAGAAACTAATCCCCTTGATTAGTTTCCATCAATTGCTTCTTATCTTATCTTTTGGTGCTTTTGAAAATAGGTTGACCCTTTCTTCTTTGTGGCGTGCCCTTAAATACTTGAACACTGCTATCATACCTCTCTTAGCCATCTTTTCACTATTCTAGACATACCCAGTTCCTGCAATTGTTGTTCTTCATATGTCTTAGTCTCCAGCCTCTTAATCATCATTATTGCTCTTTTCTGCACTCTTTCCAGAATCTCAATATCTTTTTTACATTGTGGTGAGCAAATAAATAATATTTGGCAATGCAAGAAAAAAGATTTCATGGAACTAAATACAATAAATTCTTCAAAAGATTACTTGAAAAATACCACCGTTCCATAAGATAGCTTCCTTTGTGCCATTGGATATTATATTCTGAATGAAAAGAAGGTCACAGTGTGATGCCATTTCATCACATGTCTTCTGTAATGAGCATGACAAATGAGAAAAGGAAAGCCAAAACTGAGTCCCAATTCTAAGTAGCAGCCTAGGATCTTCTCTGATTTTGGCACAGGCATTAGCCTAATACAAAACAAGGGGATAGAAATAATAGAACGCTTTCCTGAGTAGTTGCTGATGTTATTCCCTACAACTGATAAATGTGCAGATGGCATGATAAAGGAAGAAAAATACATTTCTTTTTTCCATCATCAGTGGATTCATTTCACTTCATTAGAGACTCTTGAAGAAAAGCTATAATCTTACACTAGCAATTCCATAACTTTGACAGTAAGGCTGGGTTAAAATCAGTAGATAAATCTTCTGTCTCTTCACCTCTTTTTAGTAAATTAGTCCTCAAGTTGGAAGAAGGTGTTCATCTTACAAATCTGTCCATCTTTCAAAGTCCCTTTCTGTACCTTCCTCCGAATTGTGTTTGACAAATCATTTCACCCTTCCCTTTTCAACTTTGATTTTAAATCACAGAATTTTAGAACACAGATGAGGAATTGGGAAGGTAATCCTTTTTCCTTGTGGTGTTTAGATTATCATCAAATTGATCTTGCCTTACTTTAAAAGCCAACTTAAAGGTTGAACAATGGTGGGAAAGCTTGCTTTAAGCATTCCTTTTACATATAGATCTCAGAAAAAAAACACATTTCACAATGCTAATCAACAATAAAGTGGTAGGCAATGTGGCCCAGTGATTTGATCTGGTTAGGATCCTGGGATAAGTAGTTGTTATCCATCTTCCAAGATAACTATCGATGCATTTCAGCAGGATGTGGCAAAATCTACTATTGTGCCCAGGTGTTTAGTATCTCTTTTTACTACTTTAATGTAAAAGTCCTCTTCTATCAAGACTTAACATCTATTAGCTATGCCTTTGAACACTACAATGGATTTTTGGTAGCTTTTCATCACACTGTATCAAACTATGACATAATTTTATAGTATATAACTTTCTGCTTACTAAAACCACATTGTATGTGTGGCTGATAGAGATTCATGTGTACAATGTCTACTGTTCCACTCAGGTGCAGGTTCAACTGTAATCCATGTCCATTTTTTAAACATACAAACTGTATTGATTTGTTTGGGCTGGTACTAAGTTTTAACATGGATGTGGGAGGACTGGTTTTAATAGCTTTTATGTAATAGCTGGGTTATTTTACTCTCTTTTGATTTAATAACACTTACTTAGCATTTATAAAGAGCACTTTATGTGTTCAAAGCACTTTGCATATATTACTTTAATAATCCTTACAAGGTAAGGAAGTAATATAATTCTTATTTGCCTGGGTTGTGTGTGTGTGACTGAGTGTTGCATGAAGACTGAGAACAGTAACAATTGCCTATTGTTTTAAGATGATGCCTGAAACAATATTATGCTTTCATCTGTTTTACAGGTATTAAACAACCCATGCACCATTGGGTCATCATTTCAGAAAAAAAAATCCTTACCTAAATAGAGAAACAGAATGACCACAGGTGAGCAAAAAAGCAGACAGAACAGGAATGACTTCTAACCACCTTCGCATTGAATTATCTTGTGGGAAGCTGGTAAGGGAACATTAGAAATCTTCCAACCTTCCTTCCTTCTTCCCTTTTCCCTTCCCAGCAGACAGGTATGTGGCTGCTGCTGGTGGGGGACAGAATGAGGGATTGTGAAGGCAGCTGGGAAACTGTCACAAAACATTGAAAATGCAGATTGCGTGATTGTAGCAGCATGCAGCAACATTTCAGCAGATACAACTGTCTCAAATTTCATTTCCTTGGGAGTTGTAGGATTTTGGATTCATTCTATAAGGTAGTCCATTTGAGGTAGTTTGATTCAAAAATTGTTGTTCTGTGATAATGCACTATTTCACTCAATTTTAAAGGTTACAGACACAAGAATTTCAGTAGTATATAGATAAACCTATATCTGAAAGACAAAGGTAACTCTTTTGAAAACAGCAAAGTTCACATTCTGGACAGAGAGAACCACTAAGCTGAAAGAGGGGTCAAAAAAAGCCAACTATGTTAAAAGTGAACAGCTCTCTCTTAACAAATGGGGACGAATACAATACCACCTATCTCCTATCTATAACAAAGTCCTTTCAGTATTCCTATGGAGATTCCACACCCATTTGCATTCTGATTCAGGTGACATTGAGGGCACAGATAACCACCATAAGTGGCCTCAACAACTGTCAGAGAACTAACAGCGGACCTTCAGAATTCCAATGACTGCAAAGAATATAAACCCTTCCCTTCAGCCAGAACCGAAGAAGCTTCTTGGAAGAGAAGCAAAACCTTTTCAAGGAAAAAAAACAGGAAAGTCCAATTGCCTTTTGAAAAGCGCTTCTGGGGCATAACCTTGATGATTGAGAATCTCCGTACACATAAACCTATTAAACACAGATGAGACACAAAAACAACTCTTATTTGTTCCACTATCTGATGAAGAGATTAAACAATTAATATTAAAATGCTAAGCAGAAAAACACCAGCATTGAATAGGTTTCCTAGAGTAGTAAAATATTAATAGATCTTTTTTTGTGCCAAAACTTTGTCAATTGCATCATGAGGTACTTAATAAGGAATATTACCAGAGATATTATATTGCAATTAAATAAGAGTTTTAGTAGTATATACTGTAGATATTTATTAACTGCCATGGAAATAATGAAATGTTAAAAAGATACACAACAATTTTAAAAGAAAGACTTGTTCTCCATTACCTGCTTTGGGCAAAGGTTTTCTGAAATCCATTCTTTTTCTTCAGCAAATCTGAATTGGGTAAAGGAATCTCCTGAAAACAAAATGACATTTAAGTTGAATAGGCTTCCCATTTATCAGAAATGACTGATAAAGTTACATTAATGAAATAAAATCAAGCATGATACACAAATAATATCTCATTCCCTGTTTCAGGCTATTCAAGACAGCAATCACAATGATAAAAATGGCGAGAATGTAAGGTGTTGGTAAGAATAAGGACCAGTTAGCAGAATAAGAATTCTAGTTCAGCCTCTTATTATGCTTCCAGATTCCGTGTTTATTGTCTTTCAGGCTGAAAGAAAGCACATGCGGGATAGTCCATGTTGCAAACTAACAGGAAACTCCTTCTCTTAGGAAAATACAGTACATTTCCAAAATGTAGAACATACTACATGCTTTATGCAGCATCCAGAAAAAATTAAAACTAGCATAACTTAATTCAGAGAAATAGTTTTTATTCTGTTTGAAGAAAACTTCATCAATTAGCAGTGTACATTAAAGACAAAGTTTGTGTTCAGGTTTGTGTGCTTCTGAAACTAGCATTGTTTAATTGAAACACTTCCAGCATGCCATGTATTGGTTCAGGAGTAAAGCAAAACCTTGCTTCAGAAAACCTGTTGAATTATGTTAACAATCAGAGGGAAATGAATGAACTGCTATAATACATTTAACTTTTGAGAGAACAGAATGATCACTGCATTTTTGAGGGATGAAACATTCCCAGATAGAGGCAGAGACAGAATTTCTCCACAAGGGAGAAAGCAATTCCTGCCCTCTCTTCTGGTGGAAGGAGAGATTGATAACTATTATGTTACTTCATGTGTTTTTTTTGTAATGTATTTTTGCATTTTTAAACCATGTACTGTCTACCATGTTTGAATTCTTTCTAATATCACTATGACTGAAAAGGAAAAAAGGGAAAAGTTACAGTAGTCCTCGACGTACGACCACAATTGAGCCCAGCATTTCTGTTGTTAAGTGAGACATTTGTTAAGTGAAGTGTTGACTTTTCTCGCCACAGTTATTAAGTGAATCGCTGCAGTTGATAAGTTAGTAACACGGTTGTTAAGTGAATCTGGCTTCCCCATTCACTTTGCTTGTCAGAAGGACACAAAAGGTGATCACATGACCTTGGGACACAGTAACGGTCACAACTATGAACCAGTTGCCATGCATCTGAATTTTGATCATATGATCATGGGGCTGTTACTAAGGTTGTTAGTGTGAAAAATGGTCATGTCACTTTTTTCAATGACATGTAACTTTGAATAGTCACTAAATGAACTATTGTAAGTCAAGGATTACTTGTACTCTATGATTGGAAGTTACTGCAATCAGTTATAAATCATACTTTTTACTCTTCTCTCTCCCCCCCGCCTCATGTTGAACTGGAAAATTATCAGCTTTAAATTCCTTTGAGGCTATCAAGAGCCGTGGTGGAGCAGTGGTTAGAGTGCAGGCTACTTCTGCTGATTGCCAGCAGTTCAGCAGTTCAAGTCCCACGGGCTCAAGCCTTCCATCCTTCCAAAGTCAGTAAAATGAGGACCCAGATTGTTGGGGGCAAGAGGCTGACTCTGTAAACAACTTAGAGAGGGCTGTGAAGTGGTATATAAGTCTAAGTGCTATTGCTATTGCTATCTACACTTTTCTCATCACATCTTCTGAAGTTCTGCAGCGAATCTGAGGAGACAGAAAGTTAAACTTTGGTTTGAATCCCCTTGTGGTAAAGAGTGTTTTCCATCAGACAAAGTGTAAAATATTTCACATTATTTTCTTTCCATTCTGGATCTGAACACATTTGCAAAATAACACACTTTGTAAAACTAACAAATGATAACAGTTGCTAGCAAAACGTTTGATTCCTTCTTAACTCCTTCTTTGCCATCAGTGCCCATCAGATTAACTAAATCCTGACTAAAACAGAGTTTGGATCATCCATCTTCTGTTCCTTTTTCAATTATTTTTAAAAATTGCAGCTGCAATTTCTTTGGCTGTATTGTTTCGCCAATAGTGCTTTAGCATACCTTGGTTTTTATGCATTGTATAACTTAATCGAAAATAGTTACTAGAAATCATTTAAGATATAAGCCAGTTTTCAATTAACGTCATAAAGGATGAAAGCATTTTGCACAAATACACTATCATATTAAAACAGTGCGTTTCTGTTCACAAAAGAATTTTATGCAGGTTTTAAAAAATAAGAAGTGAAAGCCCCAATAGCACTATTAAAGATTTTAATTAAAACCTGCATTTTCTAGACATGAGCCTGCTTGCAGAAAACCAGCAAACAAGAAAAGTTCCAACGTCATTAATTCTAAAATCTGTTAGGATCCTAGTAAGTTATTGTACTAATTATTGTCTACAGATCTTTAGCTTTTCATATATAACATCCTAGAGCAGGTGGGTCGTAACAATTGTGAAAACACAACTTAAAAGAAACACCTCTTATCTAGGTGATGGAAGAAAACTAACAGTTGAATTTTCTGCCAACTGAAAAATACAGAATGCAACAGAAGTCAATAATGACTAGCATCACAGTAGGTATTTCGGAATATATTTCAAAGTGAGATGATGATGGTAAATATATATACACACATATATACACATACATACATACATACATACATACATACATACATACATACATACATACATACATATGTTGGTAGACTAATCTGCCTCCATGTCTATGTAAAATGCTGCAATATATTGCTGCATTTTGCCTCTACCCTCAAAGATATATGTGTCTGATTCTTAGCAGTTCCAGGGCATTAAGCTGACTTATTTAGTGGCATGTGTGACCTCAAATGCTCTCAGTTAATGAGCATTTCATGGTAGTTACTTCTTAACCTATACTATTAAACCTCAGGGAATTATTACAAAATGAACGAAAAAGATGGTTGGTTATACTGAATCTTTGAAATACTGTAAAAACTGGAAATAGGTCCCTTCCAAATACAATGGAGGTTTTGAGTTGAGAACAAAACTACATTGGCAAATATTTCAGATTACGACCAGATAATTGCTTCTCTACTCTCAGCCAAGGCACAGCTGATTGTCTCCTGAGATTATGTTTGAGATACATATATTTGCAGTGGGTTTGCTTTGACAATCATAGAAAAATTGCTCACAAATAATTAGATTTCTACTAACTCACAAGTGACTTCTCAAGCAGAGCTCTGAAAGGTTACTGCAGTACGAATGTAAGGTTACGCGATACTTATCTATAAATAGGCTATTTAGTTCTAATCATTGGACAAACACATATAGATATAGCAGTTCTGAGTTATTTAGGTTGTTTTGTTGACTAAATTTTTTTAAAAAGTCAACCTGTCTTGCATTTTTATGTAATGTTCTTGATTTTCAAAGATGGTGAAATGTATTGATTAAAATTGCTTTGTACACTTTTTTGTACAAATTCTGCAATTCCTGTCCTTTAGAAAACAAGTAGTTAGGTTATGTTGCTAATTTTTTGTTTTTTCAATGTTGGAAATAAAAACCACACTATCTACCAATTTGTCAATTGACTACAGAAGGATAACCTCTTGACTGATAGTGATATCACAATAGGCATTTTCATTAAGGGTAGTACATAATATCACAGAGGAAGTTTATCAAATAAAGAAGCAATAAGTGCAGAAGCACATTTAGCATAAATTAGTTTAATGGAAATGTGGTCTAACTAATTATCTTTAAAAAACTCTTAGCATTAAAATAATTTCTTGTTACTCCATAAATATTAATAAACTATTGGACAATAAGCTGTGAAGTTGTTTCAAATTTTAAAATCATCATTTTTTAAATTCCAGGTAAAAGTAATTGGAAATTAAAGCAACATGAAAATTGTTTTGGGGAAAAAACCAAAGCATGTGTTCAGTCTCTTCTTTTCAAATTCTCACATTCAGAAGTGGGTAACAGACATTTATATCTCATTTTAACTCTTTAAATGAACTGAGACCCAAATAAATTAGGTTCCTGGGTTCTGATATTAGCTAAATTCACTTTTAAACCAACCAAAACCAGAGTTCTAGAGTTCATGGTTAGATATGGAAGAAATAAAATAATTAATACCAATGGGCATTTCAATTCCAATCAGTATTTCATGTTGAGATTGAAACATTCTAATCTCAGCAGCCATTTCAACTCCGCTGGTTTCGAACTAAACAGATGTTTTCCATGTTTCGTTCTGAGGCTGGTAGAAAATTAGTTGCTTTGAAGTCTTCTACCTGTTTCAGGTCCTATAATTTGGCTAGGGGTTTTGGGCCATTTGCAGTGGTATTGTCCAACTTTTCCATCCTAGCTGTCATGTCCCTGCTGCTATCGATCCAACTTGATGAGAGAGTTTCATTTGTAAAAAATAAAAAGTGAGGATGACTTTTCACAGCTACGCACCTACTACCCTGGTAAATTACTACATGTGAGTGGATGAATTGCATTTAGCATTTATATATGTGTGTATGCACTATTGTATATGCTTCACAGCAATGTAGCCAACACAATTAAGGTTCTACAAATGTAAAGGCTAATAATACAATATCCACTTCTTGAGCTTTTGGGTACATGCTACCTGCCTATGATCTTGGAAGCGAATGATGCCTGGCTTCAGAATGCATCTAAAATTGCAAAAAAACAGCTTTGGATCGTTTGAAGAACAGTTATCTGTGTCTGCACTCTCTGCATGCTCTTAGCTTTTGTTTGTTTAATGTGAATGCAATTCATGCAGTTAAGAACCACTATAGGCCATTAGTTTACTTCATTATGCAGCCAACAGCCACCCTTATGTTCAAGCAAAAATCAGTAAAGATCAGATAATTGTTTTCATTGGCAGGCAGGCAGGGTGTTTTTCTTTAAAAAAACAAAAACTTTTTCAGATCTAATTTTTGATCTTGCTATAATTGATTGGGGGGTGTAGTGCTTATAAAAATACTGGATAGGACTTCCTTTTTTGAGAACTAAAAATATGAATAAACCTCTATACCTATATTAATTAAGATTGGAGTTCAATATGTTTTTAAACACATTTTCTTGCAT